TGTATGAAACATACTTATACATAAGATGCCATTCATGCTCTTCTTTAGTATTTTAGCTTTCTTTCTTGTTATACTAAATCACATCTTTCAATTATGAAATAGATCTATACATTTCTCAACTAGCAATTTAGGTATTGTACTTAGGATCAAAAATATTATGAGCATTCTTTATGTCAAATCCTACAAGGAACATTTGAGATAATATCTCTAACACTTAGATATCTCAATTTGGAACATGTAATGACAATATCGTCTATTCCAAAGATTTTTCTTTCAAATTACAACTTGGGATAACTCTTCAAGAGATCTGATTATATTCAAATCCAGGATCCTCTTGATCCATAATATTTTGGTAAATACATATGGGTATATTGGTTAACCTTATAATATTCACTTATACCATATGAAACGTTTTTGTCTTAATTCGATCGAATAATTATAATCTTCAGGAACATAATTTTGACAATCTTAATCCTTCGGGAACTTGTATCCTTCTGGAATTTTTATTTAAGTTTCATTATCTAGTGGGTAGTATAAGTCAAGTTCTTCTCTCATTGCCAGACTGATAAGGAACTTGAAAGTAGTTGCATCCACCACAGAAGAGTTTGTCTCTTCATATTTAATTTTATATTTATCATTCTTTTATATAAAGTCTTCTTTATATCCCACTGGTTTTACACCCTTAGGTGTATGGACAAGTTGTCCAAATACTTATCTCTTTCCAAGAGATTTTAATTATATGACTATTGCTTCTTTATAATTTGGCCAATCATATATTTGTGTACACTTTGCAATAGATTTCATGATCCTCTTTCTCATCTATCATATCAACTGCTACATTGCATGCAAAAATATTTACGACGTCGATTTGCTTTTCGGTTCCATTTTATTCTAGACATGACATAACTTGTTGAGATCAATCTCTTTATTGTCTCAGGTACCTGACTTTTTTCTTGTCATGTTTAATGTCTCTTCTTGAGATAATTCAAAATTTATCTCCTCAGTTTGACCATTGTCATATTCTGCTCCTTTTCTTTTCTGAGGATATTTATATTTGGAAACAATAAGTCTATCACGCTTCATGCGTTCTTTAAACTCTTTAGCAGCTTGATATTGTCCTTCTGGAACATTATATTTTATTGGAGCCTTTATAGCTGGGATGTGACCTTGTCACTCTATTTGGGTCAGTAAATGTTTCTGGCAACTGATTTACTAAACTTTGTAAATGAATCATCTTTTGGACATTAATTCACATTATTTAGTATGAGGATCAATGATAATTCATTCCAACTTATCTTTTCAAGCTGTTTCTTTTCTCCCCCTGATGTTGGAATTACTGACATATTAAAATGACAGTCTACAAATCAAGCATAATATAAATCCTTCATGGATGGACTCTACATACTTATTTATCAATGGAGATTTATATCCAACATATATTCTCAACCTCATTTGAGGATCCATCTTATAAAGTTGTGGTGGAGCAATGTGGATATATACTGCACATCCAAATCATTTAGATGGAAAATATTTGGTTTCTGACCCAAAACCAGATTTGATGGGAGAACTTTGATTACTTGTTGGCTTTATGCGAATTAATACTTCTGGATTTTGTGTATGAACATTTTCTATTAGATGTTCAATATTTATCTTTATGATTTTATCATCAAAGGCTTTAGACGTGAATTCACTAACATTGCCAAGGGGTCTAGCAAACTTCAAGTTGCAGATATTCAATATAATAAATTACTTAACCATAAACTTTTCCTTGTAAACTTTCTAGGAAATGATATAGATTTTAAATCTATTTTGGCTACTGAAAATTATAATATCATATTTGTCATATGATTAAATCATTAGGAAGAATCTTCAAGTTCTTCAACAAATGTCTATAGACCTATTAATTATTTTTGCATATTTCTTGAACCGGAATGGTCTAACCAGCTCATGCCAAACTATGTTATATTCCTTAAACTTCTGGTTTACTATATAACATTTATCTCCATTATACAATCTTTATATATTACAATCTGTTAGAGAGTGTATGTAATTTCACCAAAATACTTTTACTGAATTTGGTAATACTTTAGATTTGAAGGTATTCAAATTTTCCTTCTTTATTGTCTTAACTTGATTAACTTTGAAATCCATTAAAATTACCTTATAATGATTCATCAAGATCATTTTGATTTTGAACATAATCTTTTAGAGGTTTTACTTACTATGGATTGTGGGATTCATCAATTCTCCCCCTCAAGATGATGACACTTCAGGTTCATCTATTTTGAATTGGATCCCAATCTAGAATCAATAACATATCCAACTTGGATCATGTCTTATATCTTTGATTCTTTAAACTTTAGAGACTTGGTAGATATAATGCATCAATAATTGCCACTGCCAAATATATCTACTCTTCTATAGCTTTCAATTCCATATATTATCAGATCTTGTACTCACAATAGTTTATTTAATCTTTAGACAAGAGAAATACTTCTTATTTATACCATCTTTATTTTCTCACTTCTTGTAAGAATTTGAGTTCTTGAAATAAAACTTTTGATCTAGACCTTGATCATATCCATTTCATATTCACATTCATGACCACTTTTTGAGCTAGTTCCTTGGCTAATTTTATTAACATGATTATTTTCTGTCCCACTATATAATGTCACATTCACTTCAAGGAACATATCATAATGAATTGGACATAATTTAGAACTTTTTATCAGTAGCTCATTATCTTTTCAAAATAGTTCTTAAACTTCATTTATATTGTCTACAAGACAACATTATTTATCTAAGGATTAGAGTTTGTCTTCTAGCAACTCTAGATTAGTGATTTTTTCTTCACATAATCTTTAACATAATAAGATTTATTTACAGACTTCAAGTCTTGTAATCAATAAGTATTATTTACAGACTTCAAGTCTTGTAATCTTAGATGTAAAAACTCATAATGAGCTTTATGTAATGTCACATTATAGTGATCCTAATTTTTCTTAGATCTTTTACAATAAAATACAAGATATTCTTATAGATAATGGTAGAAAATAAATATTATATAACTATATATATATATATAAATGAAAGCATATTAAAAAAACAAATAATATCAATAACATGTATCATCAATATTATCACTTCAGGTGACAACTTGAATTGTTTTAAAAAAAATCAAATAGATAATATATAATTACAAAATACTTCTTGATTATGTCTGCAGGACAATATTATTTACATCTTTATATAAATAATATTATATCCACTATATTCACTTATAGACTTCAAGTCATGTGGTTTTAGATGCAATCATGCGTTATAAGTTTGGTCATATCATATTCTGGTGATCATGCATTTTCTTTATATTCCTCTATGATCAAATACTTGATCTTCAGCTAATCAAAGATATGATGACAAAAAAAAATTATATAAGATATGACTTATATGTATATATAATTTAAATAAAGATAATATGTCATAAAATAACTCAATCAATAAATCATCCAAAGAGATTAGATAATAAAATATGTGCAAATCTCGTGATCATGTAAATAAACAAGTTTTGATGCAATAGTGCAAATCTCATGAAAACATACAAGCAGAATGCAATAGTTCTGTGCAAAAATCGGGATATATGTGCAAAACTTGTGTAAATTTTGGATAATCATATATGTGCAAACTTCGGGTTAACAATATTGAAATCAGAAACTAGTGCAGATTTTAAAACTGAAATCTAGATCTGAATAATGACATAATAAAACAAATCAGTGCAAAGTTCGTGTTAAAACGATTCTGTGCAAAAATAATATAGAAAATATTCGATTTAATGAATATGTACAGAAACAATATGGGGCAATATTCGATTTTAATTTATAAGATTCAACTTAATAAATTTCGTGCAAATCATGTGCATAAATAACATAAGCAATATATGATTTTAATAAATATATTCATTTTAATATATTTCGTGCAACCTATGTGCAAAAATGGAAAACAATATTTGATATGAAAATCATGTACAGAAATATGAATAAAGACATATTTATAAATATCATGCAAAAATATATTAGTATAAATATGTGATTTAAATCTCTACTGAAAAATTTATCATAATATCATTTATAAAAATAATTATATGATTTAAATCTCTGCAGAAGAATTTATCATAATATCAATCATATATAAAATAAACATGTATGAATCTCTACAAGAGAATTCATCATAATATTGATCATGTAAATCTCTTCAAGAGAATTGATCATAATATTGATCTTGTAAAAAAAACAAATTAACAACATAAACATATAATTTGAATCTTTGCAGGAGACTATCATAATATTGATTAATGATTCATTCTTACAAACCATGAGTTGATAATAAACATGATTTAAAGTTGGAATAATAAACTCTAAGAAGCAGATTTGTATACCTCTTAGCTCAGACAGCTAGAGTTTCGTGCTGATAACGTGTTGTAAATAGAGAGAAGAGATAGAAGGAATTAGTATTATGTTATTCCAATGAATAAGTGGTCCTTTATATAGGAGTACAAAGAGAGGATTTTACTTGGTGACAAAGACAAAGTAAAACCTAGTTTACAAGTAACTTTATAACTTTCTAGAAGGTGGGCCTTATGGGCTTATAATGGACATCACATAATTGTTCATAACAATAGTTTTGTTTTTTTATTATAATATCTGGTAAGCCACAAACTGGAGAATCTAAGCATAAATCATTCTGGAAAAGCGGAAGCCATGCTAGTAGCTAATTTGTAAAAAAAAAAAATTCAGCAGTCAACGAAAGAGATCTGGTTTACAAGTGAAGGACCATCCTTAGTTTCTGAACATTTTCTTTGGGACTATTTCATAGAGAGTTTTAAAAGCCAGAAATATTACAATCTCGAAATCAGTAATACGATAAAGAAATCATCTTGGGACGTTTCACTGATCACAAACATCACATAACAAAGGGAAACAAAAGCGAGAGAGAGTCTGTTCACTTGTCTGAATCTGGCTTTTTCCATGCTGCTTGCCATTGCTTGTCATATAACGTCGAACAGACCCTTGACTTTGTCTAAATCTTCGTTCTTGCGGATGAAAAGAACTCCGAGTACAGCCACAAACAAGAGCGTTTTGCAGAAGAAGTTTCCCATTTGGTCCGGTAAGGCTATCCACAAAGTAAGCCATGAAGAACCCTATCATCGCAACACGACCTGCAAGATAAACCCAAAAAAATGAAACCCATGTTTAGTTGCAAGGTACACACGATTTGGATCTTAAGCATATTGAAGTTTTTAAGACATTAGTGTTTTTGGAAGATCACCATTGAGGAGCTCAGCTTCAGGTAGATGGTATCTCTTCATCCATGCTCACCATGGAATAATCGAGGTATCGAAGAGTACAGGCTCGTCATTAGTAGTTGTTTCTGGGTTATCTTCAAGCCATGTTCTCCTCTTTGCCTCTGTAAATACAGAATCAGCACACTACACAACAAATCACTCATCTTCTTATACATTATTAGTCAATTATCTAATCTACCCTCTGCATCAATGGCAAAACTTCATCCAAAGTTTTCACCACTCCCCAACACCTCTACTTCAAATCATACGTTCTTATCTTCTTCTCAATATAATCATAGTAGTACAACACGTCATCCACGACACAAACATGCTCCCACTCTCTAAAATTCAACATCTCGTCCGTTTCCCATGTACTCTTCTTTGGCTAGTAAAAAAAAACCGTTTCCCATGTCACTTATCTCAGGGTCTATCTTTATAACCATAGGCTCCTCCCACATCTGTTTTTCTGTATTGAACACCGCCATCACCTTCTTCGAGTCATGACCATAGTTTCTAATTACGTAAATTCTCCCGTCGATGATGTCAGCGATTGTGTTAGACATGGGCACATAGATGCTAGGGATGGTTTTCATCGTGTGAGATCTGCAGTCGATGGTTGACGCACTCATTATGCTCCTATTTTAATTGTTAGTCTCACCAAACATGTATATACTCGAACCCATCGTGACAAAGCTTCCATCGCTAGAGGGAAGCGAAGGGATAAGGACAAAACTGCTCTTGCCGTTGGGTTCCTGGTGAATAATATACCAACGGAGATCACCGTTGTTTATGTGATGGAGGAGAAGATAGAGACAGTGTTCGGTGTGGCCTAACAGAGACCGTCCCTCGTATATGTGACACCCGATCCCGGTCATATATAAACCGAACCAGCAATGTCAAGATAACCGTTTGCGCCATAAAGCCAAACGCATTATCCACTTTACAAGTCTCAGAAACCGAAGGCGCCTTGCTTAACAAACAACTCTACACCACCTGCGATACTGAAGCATCCTGACTCACCTAACCTGCTATAGGGGACCGAGAGAGAGAAGATAGGGGACTGGATGGGTGAGTAATTTAGATTACACAGGATAATGAACCTACACTATCCTATCAATGCACTACAACTTAACAAACGCTAAGTTCAAGCCTAAAACAGCACCATAGAAAGTCCTAATAACCTAGCGTCACAGGTAACGCCACTGCGAATACCCGGACCACAAAATGATGACTTACACCGTGGCACTTGGGTTGCATCCTCCGTAAATTTATAGTCGCTACACGACTAGCCCGTCGGCCATGCCTTGAGAGCGCTACGTATAGCCATTACTCCCATACCACATGAGTATACGCTGAACCCTTATGAACAGCCCCATGTGATATCAGGTCCCTCAGTACCCCCTCGCATATTTCCCACGTGGCTCAGTGACTATCCTCAACTTCAGTGTATCGATTGCAGCCCCAGGCATTGCAAATCTCAACCATCCATCTCGGACCCCAAACAATGGTCCTCCACTCAAGTATATCGACCATGGCACCTTTGCCTTATGATCTCAACTCTCATCTCAGACATTTCACAACACATAGTATCAATAATGATTTCACGCAATACCATATTAAGTTTCTATCCACTTTACAAGTTCTAGGCGATCACACAATCACATAAGAGATCCAAACAGCAATAAAACAAGCAAAGTGTTTCAAGTACAAGTAAATGTTCGTTTTAAGTCTCCTGCAACTTCAGTTTCAAAACCCTAAACAATCTAGGCGATTCACAGAGCAATCAACAACCTAACAAGACCTAGCTGGGACTCAGTTCTAAAGCAGAAAGTAGGTTATGCTTGGTTTAACCCCAAACTATGCATTCAAGAAAGCAGAGTTCACGATATTCAAGCACAGATTCATCCTCACCTTGGCCTAGGTGGCGAAGGAGGTGGCAAGGGGAGGTAAGGAGAAGAGAAGGAGGCGAGATGCTCCACGGTGGCTAACCACGCCGAATTAATCGATCTCCGGGGGTGATGCTGCGGCGGCGTATGGCTCTGGGAGGACTCCGACTCCTCATCAACATGAAACACCGGGGCAGGGCGGCTGGAGGGGGCGGCTACGGGTCCATCCCGAAGGTAGTGGACTCGCGGCTGCTCCACCACGGCGGCGGACGATGATGGCTGCTCCGGGGAGCGGCTAGGGTGGTCACCAGAGGGCGGAAATGATGAACGGCGGGACATGGTGAAGAGAGAGAGGATGCAGCGATGAGAGAGAAAGAAAGAGGAGAGAGAGACGGCGGAGAGAGAGTACTACGGCGCCGGAAAGAGAGAGAAGAGAGTTCTAGGGTTTTCTCTGTTCTCTGGAAAGCTTAGAATGAAGAAAAAGAATGGGAAGGACTTTCTATTTATACCCAATGGGAGACTTGGGTAAAAAGTAAAGATAACCACGAAAAAAGAAAAGATAATTATGAATAAGAATATTCACAATTCATTTAGGAAAAAGTTCATTAATATCACATTAAAAATATAATATTTATCTAAACCAGGAATTAATTATCTCTCGAAGAAAAAAGGAAATATCGAGAAATAGGAAATAGGCTTAAACCGTCTTAGTCGGGATTGAATTTTCCAAACGGCCCTGGTTTATAAGACCGGGTCATTATAATTCTCTCTCCCTTAACGAGAATTCATCCCGAATTCTAAGGCATGAACCTCCACGGCCGGCGTAAGGCGATGAGGAAGACTTGGAAGTCATACCACAAAAGGCTAAATCGAAATGTTCATAGGACGGAAGACTCGGGAAACAATCATTTCTAAGTAAGCAAAACCTTTTATTAAAATAAATCAAGCAATCAAGCAACATAGAATAGGGCTCTTAAATCTAATGCATAAATTAATAACTAAGTTAATTAAAATGTAAAATGAAATCCCCCTCCAATATCCCAAAAGCGCAGCTTTAATCTAGATAGTCTTCAAGCAGCTTCTCCTAGCCACGTCTCGGGTCGAAGTCGTCGTCGCCGGGGACCTCGCATTCAGACGGGTCTGACTCATAGTCACCCTCTTCCTGCTGCCTCTGTTCCTCCTCGATATCCTGCTCGACCAACCGAGCCAGGTTAGTGACTTGGCTGATGCCCTGAACGAGTCCGTCTTCCTCAGGATAAGGTACACTCCCGCGGATTTCCGGTCTCAGCCCTTCTTGGAATGCTATTGCAGCATGAAGAGTACAACAGATTTCTCTGCCACTCTCATTCAGGTCCCGAAAGAAGGCCCTTTTGTACTGCTCCACAGAACGTCCACCCTGGGTTGTCCGGGGGTAAGACGGCTGAACATCCGGCTTAACATATGGCACGGGGTTCTTGCGGGGGCGTCCGCGCTTACGTGTTGGCTGGGCCTGTTGGGCCATCACTCTACCAGAAGAGGATCAACACGTGCTCCGAGCTTGTACAGCTTCGAGCACATCAGTCGCTAGCACAGCACATGCGTTCACCTCCTCCTGAGTGGGCATCCGAGCGGGCCGGGCGAGTCTAGCAGGAACCATGTGGATCAGAGTGGTCCGTTTCCGGGCTGTCTCGCGGGTATGAGCCCTGTTTGGCATGGGAAAGAAAAATCTAAGAGTCAGATGTCAAGTATGCATAGGTGTGAGTCATAACAGTTGTAAATCAAGCCAAGTACGCACAAAGGATTCGCAAACACTAAAACTTTTTAGGACTGACCCCTCGGGACAAAACCGATGAGTCTTAACCTTGGCTCTGATACCAAACTTGTGACACCCGATCCCGGTCATATATAAACCGAACCGGCAATGTCAAGATAACGGTCTGCGCCATAAAGCCAAACGCATTTTCTACTTTACAAGTCCCAGAAACCGAAGGCGCCTTGCTTAACAAACAACTCCACACCACCTGCGATACTGAAGCATCCTGACTCACCTAACCTGCTAGAGGGGATTGAGAGAGAGAAGATAGGGGACTGGAGGGGTGAGTAATTTAGATTACCCAGGAGAATGAACCTACACTATCCTATCAATGCACCACAACTTAACAAACGCTAAGTTCAAGCCTAAAACAGCACCATAGAAAGTCCTAAAGACTTCACACAATAACCTAGTGTCACAGGTAACGCCACTGCGAATACCCGGACCACACAATGATGACTTACACCGTGGCACTTGGGTTGCATCCTCCGTAAATTTATAGTCGCTACACGACTAGCCCGTCGGCCATGCCTTGAGAGCGCTACGTATAGCCATTACTCCCATACCACATGAGTATATGCTGAACCCTTATGAACAGCCCCATGTGATGTCAGGTCCCTCAGTACCCCCTAGCTGGGACTCAGTTCTAAAGCAGAAAGTAGGTTATGCTTGGTTTAACCCCAAACTATGCATTCAAGAAAGCAGAGTTCACGATATTCAAGCACAGATTCATCCTCACCTTGGCCTAGGTGGCGAAGGAGGTGGCAAGGGGAGGTAAAGAGAAGAGAAGGAGGCGAGATGCTCCACGGCGGCTAACCACGCCAGGTTAATCGATCTCCGGGGTGATGCTGCGGCGGCGTATGGCTGCGGGATGACTCCGGCTCCTCATCAGCGTGAAACACCAGGGCAGGGCGGCTGGAAGGGGCGGCTACGGGTCCATCCCGAAGGTAGTGGACTCACGGCTGCTCCACCGCGGCGGTGGACGATGATGGCTGCTCCGGGGAGCGGCTAGGGCAGTCACCAGAGGGCGGCAATGATGAACGGCGGGACATGGTGAAGAGAGAGAGGATGCGGCGATGAGAGAGAAAGAAAGAAGAGAGAGAGACAGCGGAGAGAGAGTACTACGGCGCCAGAAAGAGAGAGAAGAGAGTTCTAGGGTTTTCTCTGTTCTCTGGAAAGCTTAGAATGAAGAAAAAGAATGAGAAGGGCTCTCTATTTATACCCAATGGGAGACTTGGGTAAAAAGTAAAGATAACCACGAAAAAGGAAAACATAATTATGAATAAAAATATTCACAATTCATTTAAAAAAAGATTCATTAATATTACATTATAAATGTAATATTTATCTAAACCAGGAATTAATTATCTCTCGAAGGAAAAATGAAATATCGAGAAATAGGAAATGGGCTTAAACCGTCTTAGTCGGGATTGAATTTTCCAAACGGGTCTGGTTTGTAAGACCGGGTCGTTACAGTATACCTCAGGCAATGCAAGTGTCGGAATCACAGATGGTAGTTCCGATTGCTCCTCCTCTGCCCTTGCTGACATCTCTAGATCAAAAATATCACGCAATCTCAAAGAAAATGTCATAAAACCCTTAACTTTAGACCCAAATCACCAATCGCCGAGAGAGATAAGGGAAGCGTGAAACCCTAATTTGCTTCAGAGAGTTCCGATCTTATATCTCTGGCTAGCTTTTGTATTTGTTAATGACCTCTCCTAATATAATATGTTATATAGCCCTTCGACCTCCACGCTACTTGCGTTCTCTCCCCCCATTATGATTATATCTTTCGATCCTTAATTTCCATATATCCATCCATGTAAATAACCCCCACATCTCCGGTGAAGAACCATCCATTCAGCGCTTTCTCTGTTCCGGGCGGATCTTTCAAGTAGGTAAGTATGATCGAGCTCCCTATAAAATATAACATAGAATAAAACCCTAAAATCTAAAACTAAGACCAGAATGAATGAAAAAAAATGAAACTAAAAGCTACTATTTATAGTTTTCATATAACTTAGATTCTTTTGAATAGCTGAATTAAACAAATATTTAGTTTTAATAAACA